GTTTAGGGAAACTCTAAACCTGAAGCCTAGAAACCCTTAGACCCTAATCATCTAAACCCCACTTTAAACCCCAACCACCAAGGCCTTCATTATCCGAAGCGCCAACGCCCTACACCCCAAAACAAGCGGGCCTTCACTAAGGTCCCAAAGTGACTAAATTTAGGGTCTAGGGCTTTAGGGTTTTGGCATAAAGCGGGGGTGCCCTTGTTGTTTGCCTGAAGGGGTTTACGAGGGAACTCTGAAGTCATTAGCTCTACCAACCCTTGAGCGTCACCTTGGGGGTGCAAGCTTGACCCCGTGACAACCCCCAACCCCAAGCGGAGGGCTAAAACCCTAACACGCTCAAACCTCAAACCGAAATTCTAAGCCCCGAACCCCCAGCCCCAAAACAAAAACCCTTAATCCCCAAAGCGAAAACCCTAAACCCCAAACCCCAAAACATAAACGCCAAACCCCAAAACATAAACCCTAAACCCTTAACCCTTAACCCTTAAACCCTATTTAAACCCTAAACCCTAAACCCTAAACCAAAAGCGGGAGGCAAGGGCCATGATGTTGTGCAGGCATGGCCAGGTGCGTCCGGGGTCCTGGCTTCTTCTTTGTGGGGTTAAGGGGCTTTTGGGCTTAGGGTTGAGGGCTTCGGGTTTAGGGTTAAGGGTTTGTAAGCCCTTTCACCGTGGATTCCGATCAGTACCTCCTCTACACTCTGGTACATCTATTTAGTTGAGCCCTAAACCCTAAACCCTAAAGCGTAAACCCTCACCCTACACCCTCAACCCTAAACCCTTCCCCTCAAGCCTAAACCCTAAACCCTGAACCCTAAACCTGAGCATAAACATGCATACCTTTAAGGGGTCCTATTCATCAAGAGGCCAGGGGCCCATATTAGGGGCCATAGACGCTTAATCTGGGACACAGCGTCGGGATTTAGGATTTCAGCTTTAAGGTTTTAGGCTGGGATGTTCCCTCTTATACTAACAGTCCCTAATATCTACCCCTATAATAATTTCTATTATGGACTGTTATAAAAGGGAACATCCCAAGCTTGGGGTTTAGGACGCACAGATAGCCACGCGCATGGGCGTACTGATGGAGAGATGGACGAATTGGCGGGGCACCCTAAGCCCTAAACCCTACATCCTAAACCCTAAACCCTAAACCCGGGAACCCAAAACCACTGTTCCTGTTTTTGGGTGTCTCGCATGGTCTCATAAGTCGAGCCATGAACGGTCCTGCGCCAAGAACTCGTTCCAAGGCAGGGAGTGCGTGAAATTGGTGATGAACATCCTGAAAACTTAGGGGGTTAAGGGGGCTTTCAGTGCTTTGTGGGGGGGAGGGGCAGAAGGGCGCACAGGGGAAGGGGGAGGGGGGGGGGGTGTTGTAGGGGGCTCAGGGTTTGGGATTCGGGGGTGACGGATGAACATCCTGGATGTGTAGAGCTTCGGGGATTGGGGGTTTTGCGAAGTGGACTTCGACAGCAGCGTTTAGGGTTTAGGGTTTAGGGTTTAGGGTTTAGGGTTTAGGGTTTAGGGTTTAGGGTTTAGGGTTTAGGGTTTAGGGTTTAGGGTTTAGGGTTTAGGGCAGTCAAAACTTCAGGTCTCCAGGTGGGGAAGGACCTGAAGCTCCCCAAACGGTTTACGGTCTAGGGTTCAGGGTGCAGGGTTTTCAGGACTTCTGGGGTTTAGGGTTTAGGGTTTAGGGTTTAGGGTTTAGGGTTTAGGGTTTAGGGTTGAGGGGCCTACGTGGCTTCAGTTGCAGAGGTTTAGGGCTTTCGGGGTTTGGGCACTTGGGTTCTCTACTTTCTTCAGAACAGCCAACTGATTTGCAGAACTGGTCCCTAAACCCTAAACCCTAAACCCTAAACCCTAAACCCTAAACCCTAAACCGTTTTAGGCATAGGCATTTCAGAGTCCGCGCCGCACGGGATGAAACACACTTACTACCCGCAGCCCCTACATTCGTAAGCCCCGAAGCCCCTACACGCCATAAGACCCCTAAGCAGCACTCAAGAAACCCCTCCACAAACCGAAGAGTACGCGAGCAAGAATCGAACCCTAAAGAAATCCCTCCACAAGCCGGAGAAGTCAAGTCCTAAGTACGCGAGCAAGAATCGAACCCGAGGCCCTGAACCCAAGCAAACCGAAATCCTAAGACCTGAAAAGAAGCCCTAGATAAAGCCGTAGGCAACCCTCGACCTTATAGACCCCAAGCCCCTGCACCCTAGCCCTAAACCCTAAACCCTAAACCCTAAACCCTAAACACGAAACCCTAAGCCCTAAACCCTAAACCCTACTAGTTCCTCGAACTCTGAAGCCCCAACGCTCCGCATGCCCAGTGGCCATGCTGCAGAGAAGCCACAGCGGGCGAAGAAGGACACCTTACGAATCTTGGCATAGGGTTTAGGGTTTAGGGTTTAGGGTTTAGGGTTTAGGGTTTAGGGTTTAGGGTTTAGGGTTTAGGGTTTAGGGTTTAGGGTTTAGGGTTTAGGGTTTAGGGTTTGAGAGCCCAAAGCTGAGGCCTAAAACCTAAAACCCTAAAACCTTAAAACCCTAAACCCGAAAACCCTGAACCCTGAACCCTCAAACCTAAGTCCTGAAGCCCTCAAAACCCTCAAACCCTAAACCCTAGAACCAAACGTCTAACCTCCGTCATCACCATTCGACTATGGGAGGAAATCTCATCGGCAGGCACTTCCCTCCCGTGCTTCTGGGGTTTTGGGCGTAGCGCCTGGCCCCCCCAAACCCTAAGCCCTAGCCCTAAACCCTAAACCCTAAACCCTAATCCCTAAACCCTAAACCCTAAACCCTAAACCCTAAACCCTAAACCCTAAACCTAGGATTTGTGCTTCGGGGGCTCAGCTTAAGGCAGGGAGTGCCTCTGAAGCCCTCAACAAAAAGTGTTTACCCCATGACCCCTAACATGTTAGGGCGTTAGGGTTCGCAGTTTAGGGTTTAGGGTTTAGGGTTTAGGGTTTAGGGTTTAGGGTTTAGGGTTTAGGGTTTAGATAGGGTTTAGGAATCCCGAAACCCCAACCCTGAGCCCCCGTATAACTCTCACGGCAAGGCGCAGTGAAGGCGAAACGCCATCCCTCACCTGGTTTTCCGCTGCGAGGGGTTTAGGGTTTAGGGTTTAGGGTCTAGGGTTTAGGATTTAGGGTTTAGGGTTTAGGGCGAAGACTTAGGGTTTACGTGTTTGTAGGTTGAAGGGCTTGGGGCACAGGCAGCCTGAGGGTGTCTGGTTTCTAGCTTTATGGGTTTGGGTTCAGAGCTTTCCCCCTCCCCATACCCTACGGTACTACTTAACCCTGAAACCCCAAACCCCAAACCCTAACCAAACCCCGAACCTGCCCACCCAAACTCTAAACCCTAAACCCTAAACCCTAAACCCTAAACGCTAAACCCTAAACCCTAAACCCTCATCCCTAAACCCTAAACCCTAAACCCTGAACCCCAAAAGATAAGCCGAGTCGCTGAGAGGGCGGCCGAGAGGCCAGGTGCCCAGCAGCCACACAAAGGCCTGGGATTCGTAGGGCTTCAGGGGGTTTAGGGTTTAGGGTTTAGGGTTTAGGGTTTAGGGTTTAGGGTTTAGGGTTTAGGGTTTAGGGTTTAGGGTTTAGGGTTTAGGGTTTAGGGTTTAGGGGAAGGTTTTAGGGGTGATTGGGATGAGGGTGGGGGAGGGCGGGAGGGAGGGTTGAAGAGGTGTGGGGCTTTTGGTGGGTCTTGGGGAGAAGATACTGGAACCCTCGAAGCAAGAAACACGCAGAGAGAGCTGGAGAAACCATGACTCTGAGAGAAAACTTCGTAAACCCTAAACCATAGACCCTAGACCCTAAACCCAAAATCCTAAACTCGAGAGGGGAGGGGAGGAATCGGATGGCGTAGTGCGATGGTGGCGCATGATTGTTCCACAACTGTGCCCCTCTGCGAGATTATGGCAGAACGCCAAACAACGCACTTCATCTGTATGGTTTAGGGTATAGGGTCTAGGGTTTGGGGTTAGGGTTAGGGTTTAGGGGCCGCTTTACAACGAAGAATTTGGGAGAAAAGGCGGTGACCGTAGCATACCACACCCGAAACTTGGGATGTTCCCCCTCTATACTCCTCAATAGGGATTCTAGCACCCCCTATATTAGGATCCCTATTAAGGAATGTTAGTATAAGGGGGAACATCCCAACCCGAAACCCCGAAATCCTGAACCCACCCGAAGCCCTCAGCCCTAAGCCCTAAATCCTAAACCCTAAAACCCCAAACCCTCAAGCCCTAAGGCAAGCCAAAAGGAGGCCGGTGAACCCAGCAGGACAGAACGAAGGCGTTGTGCTTGACGCGGCGCGGCACCCACCTCGAGATTGAGCAAGTTTGGGCACTTCGATGGGGCTTAGGGGTTTAGAGTTTAGGGTTAGGGGCACACACACACACACATGCGCGCGCGCACCCTTTAACTCGCACATGCCCTGTAAGCCCCTAAACCCATTTACCTTCGGTGGATTTCGTCTAAACAATGACGAGTGTGTTGCAGCGTCTGTGGCACATGTGCGGGCTCGAACTATCGAACTAGTCTGACTAGTTTAGGGTTTAGGGTTTAGGGTTTAGGGTTTAGGGTTTAGGGTTTAGGGTTTAGGGTTTAGGGTTTAGGGTTTCCAGAGGAGCTGAGGGAGGCTCAAAGCTTCGCTCTTGCTGAAGTCTTTATTCGCTTGATGTCTCTGGCAATGCTATGACATTGGCACTTCTTCCCCTTTTAAGGGAACCTCTTCATAAATATACAAAGGCTTATAGCACTAAACCCTAAACCCTAGGCAATGCTATGACACTGGCACTTCTTCATCTGTCATAAATACATTGTGGTGGTTGACTGTGTCCTTGTGCTGCGAGCATAGGGCCACAACAAGAGCTTTACCACTATGTTTAAAATGAATGCCCAAATACACACTGCAATGACTAGTTTCGGAACAACCGTTGTGAGTATGATCGGATCCGGGATAGTGTAGACCCCTTCTTCTGGGCTATCCGTCGGCAAAGTCTCTGAACGAGCTTGGGCCATGCGGCTTGGACCAGAACTCCTTGTTGCACTTGCCGCCGGCGCCCTCATCCTATGGTCGGGAGAAACGTACACTAAACCCTTCACCCTGAACTCTTCCTAAACCCTGAACCTAAACCGGAAACCCTAAACCCTAAACCCCAAATCCTAAACCCTAAACCCCTAAACCCTAAACCCGAAACCCTGAACCCTCACTGCACCTTGCATGCAGAACCCTAAGATAATGAAGAACTTCTCAAGCTACTTCGAAGAATTCTCGAAGCCCTTAAACAGGGCGTCCGTTAAATCTTAGGGTTTAGGGTTTAAGGTTTAGGGTTTAGGGTTTATGGACAAAAAAACTCTCTTAGGGTAGTTACATGGCCCCTTACTATGGGCCCTTTACTTACCCCTTATACATCCTATAAAACCCAAGGGCATACTTCAGAACCAAATTAAGGAAGGTAAGGGACTAAACAGGGACCCCTGATTTCTACCCCTTCTACACCCTGCTTTAGACTCAAGGGTTCCTATACTTCAGAACCCAAGTTAAGGAAAGGAAGGGGCCCATCTTCTTAGTTGCTGAGTTGAGAACTCCCCCCAAAGTGCACACTTTCAGTTCTACAGGTGATTATATCATCTGAAAAAGTGAAGTGTACTCATTCAGCTACTAAGAATTGAGGGCCCATGCAACTACCTACCCTTAGAAGAATGAGTCCCCAAGTGGAACCTCCCTAGGCCTTGTGAAGTTCGCTTCGACACGCTCCTGAACCCTAGGCCCTGAACACTAAACAAGCTAGGAACCCTAGACCCTAAACCCTAAACCCTAAACCCTAGCCCTAAACCCTAAACCTCCCAGGGCCCAGTGTCCGGGAAGTGCATCCACCACTCCAGGGCGAAGAGGGAGCCGGTGTCGTTGAGGCCAAAGAAGTGAATGATCGGAATGAAGGGAACCGTCAGGAGGTACCTTAAAGGGAACCCTAAACCCTAAACCCTTAACCCTTAACCCTAAACCCACTGAACAGTCCTGAATAGGGATTACAGTCGGGGGGTACTAGTATCCCTATTGAGGACTGTTAACATAGGGGGGAACATCCTTAAGGGGCAGCTGCGAAAGTACTCGGCTCCTTTGTATCCAAATACCACCAAGGGTTTCTGTCAGGAGATACCTCTCAAATCTAGGGGTTGTACCTTACCCTAAACCCTAAACCCTAAACCCTAAACCTTAGACCCTCAAGGTTGCACTTTTGGGCTTTGCAAGATCCCTGAGGTAGTATAAGGGCCATATTGGGGTATAGTAAGGGGAACCTTTAGAGGTACAGCCTTAAAGGTACACGTCTTAAAGGGCAGCTACGAAAACACCAGGCTCCCCTGTATCCGAACAACCACAGGGGCTTAGGGCTTAGGGTTCAGGGCTTGACAGCTACTCAAGTACGGACTGTGCAATATCCAAAAAGGGGCCTGCCTGTGGAACTGATCGTAGGGTTTAGGGTTTAGGTTTAGGGTTTAGGGTTTAGGGTTTAGGGTTTAGGGTTTAGGGTTTAGGGTTTAAGGTTTAGGGTTTCTAGGTTCCTCGGTACCCGATGAACAACAGACGGGGATTCGTCCACACTGTGATGAAAGCATCCTGCCCGAAGCCCCAAAGACCCTAGAGCCCGCCACGCAGCAAGCACCTAAGCCTTAAGCACCTCCCCCTAAACCCTAAACCCTAAACCCTAAACCCTAAACCCGAAACCCGAAACCCGAACCCCCTAAACCCTAAACCCCAAGCCCCTCCCGACCGACCTGCCTCAACAAACCTGAAAGCCCTCCCCCAGAACAAAAAAGACAAACACCTAAGCCCTAAATCCTAAACCCTAACACCTCACCTAAAAGGCATCAAGAAACTAAGCTCGGGACCAAAAACCCTGCAACCTCATGCAAGAAATCATAAGAGACCCTAAACTAAACCCTAAAACCCTCAACCCTCATGAGATGAAAGCCTTCGCCTCCCCCCCAAACCCTAAACCCTAAACCCTAGACCGTAAACCCTAAAACCCTAAACCCTAAACCCTAAACCCTAAACCCTAAACCCTAAACCCTAAACCCTAAACCCTAAACCCTAAACCCTAAACCCTTCTTTTCTTTCCCTTCCGGGCGGCTTGTACCAGTTGCTGCTCCAGGGGCCAGCCCACTGCTGCAGGGCGTAGTGGAACTCCTCTTCTTCGTGCTTTGCTGGGGTTCAGGGCTTAGTGTTTAGGGTTAGGGTTTAGGGTTTAGGGTTTAGGGTTTAGGGTTTAGGGTTTAGGGTTTAGGGTTTAGGGTTTAGGGTTTAGGGTTTAGGGTTTAGGGTTTAGGGTTTAGGGTTTAGGGTTTAGGGTTTAGGGTTTAGGGTTTAGGGTTTAGGGTTTAGGGTTTAGGGTTTAGGGTTTAGGGTTTAGGGTTTAGCGTTTAAGGTTTAGGGTTGAGGGTTGTTGCGTGCTTTGCTCCTTACACTCACAGCCCGAAAAAACCTAAACACTCAAAGCCTCCGAACCTAAGCCCAACAACTCTAAACCCTAAACCCGCAACCAGGGTTTAGGGTTTAGAGTTTAGGGTTAAGCGCTGTGTACTTGGCGGTTAAGTCGGGCTCAGAGTATATCTGTAGGGTTTGAGGGTATGTAACATGTTGAGATTCCAAAAAAAGGCGAAAAGCCTACACCCTAGACCCTTTTCCCTCAACCCTAAACCCTGAACCCTAAACTCTAAACCCTAAACCAAGGTTTCGGTAAACCCGATAAGCCCTAAACACTAAGCCAAGGGGTCCTGAACCTGCCCTGAGCCACTTCTGATTGGGAGCCCTCTCCAGCCCACCCACAAGATCAACCCAGGGTTAGGGTTTCGGGTTTGCGGCTTGGGGTTTAGGGTTGGGAGTTTAGCGTTTGGGTTGTGGGCTTTCTTGAGGTTTGGGGTTTCTGCTTCAGGTTTCGAGGCCCAGGGTTAGGGGTTTGGGGTCCTAAAGCGCCAGGACGGTCCTCCGGGTCCCAGCCAAACTCGCCCTGGATCAGCAGGTCTACAGTTGACGCATGGTGCCTGCCATGAGGGTTTAGGGCTTTAAGGGCTTAGGGTTTGGGGAGGGGGGGGCGGGGGTTCGGGGGATCTTTATGGGTTTAGGGTTTAGGGTTTAGGGTTTAGGGTTCAGGAGTTTTAGAGTTTGGGATGTTCCCCCTTATACTAACAGTCCTTAACAGGCATTCTAGCCGGGGGGGTACGATACTCCCTATGAAGGACTGTCAGTATAAGGGCAACATCCCAAGCTTAGGGGTCGAACGGGTTTGGGGGGGGCTTTAGGGGTTTAGGGCTCGGGGCTTCGGGGTAGATGGGCGTGCGTGGGGGTTTGGGGAATGAGGGGCCTGGCTCGCATCTAAGGCTGGCTGAATATGGGGTTTGGAGTTTAAGATTTCGGTGTGGCACCCTACACCTGAAACCCTAAACCTTTAAATAAATAGGTGGGGCAGGGGCTTCGGCGCTTTGAGACCCTCAAGCCTAAGCCCAAAACCCCAAAACCTACTCGGAGGTTCAGGGTACTTATAACCCCAAGGAAAACTGCACTTCTACGCCCCCTAGCTCCTCTAAGTAGGCTCTAAGTAGACCCAGAACTAAGATTGTAAGTACCCATGAACCTCCAAGTAAGCCCTGAAGCCTACCTACTTCTCCAATCACCAAGGGGAAAAAAGGCTAAACTTTATTATTCCTACTAAATAAGGGAACCCAAAAAGTTTAAAGTTCAGCTGTTGGAGAAGTAAGCCTAAACCCTCAGCTGAAGCCGCACTTTGCAGGTGGTCGCGCGCCTATTGTGCTCCAGAACGAACTCCTCCCAAGGCAAGGAAAAGAAGTCCGCGAACCTGTGAGGTCTGCGCCAAGGCATTTACTTGTCTTAGGGCTTAGACCTAAACCCTAAACCCTAAACCCTAAACCCTAAACCCTAAACCCTAAACCCTAAACCCTAAACCCTAAACCCTAAACCCTAAACCCTAAACCGTGGGGGTTCTAGGGTTTAGCTTCGGGCTTTCGGGCTGAGGATGACTCTGGGAAGAGCCCACCCTTCCCAGAATCAATACAGGTTCACCTTCGCTTTGGGGGAAAGGCTTCGGGGGTTTAGGGTTTAGGGTTTAGGGTTTAGGGTTAAGGGTTTAGGGTTTAGGGCTATGTCCCTGAGGTAAGTTGAATATTTCTTATCAACTAGCATGAAGACCTGCAACCGCCAAACCAACTGTAACTTTTGAACCCTAACCCGTGAACCCTACATAACCTGCAACTCCTATAACAACCCAACACTTTTGTCGGCGGTTTCTTAACCCAAAATCCCCAAACACGCCGGAAACACCCAGCGTTGGTGAAGTTGCGGTTTAGGGTCTATAGGGGTCCGGGGCACGTTTCCTAGACCACACACCTCGGATTCCCCCACCCACCCTCCCTCCAGTTGCAGCCCGTGGGCGGATGGGTCAAGAACTTCTGGAACTCGTAGACAGGGAAGGTTGCGCCATGCATCACCTGAAGTACAGGGTCGGGATTTCTGAATTGCCCTCAGCCCTGAACCCTAAACCCTAAACCCTAAACCCTAAACCCTGAACCCTAAACCCTAAACCCTAAACCCTAAACCGTGGCTTCCCTTCTCCCGGCTACTCTCAGATGGCCGCCAGGCGACATCGTGGTCAATGTAGATCTGCTGAATCGCCACGTATGAGAACCTGAGCTGCAGTAGAACCAAGTTTAGGGTTTAGGGTTTAGGGTTTAGGGTTTAGGGTTTAAGGGAACCCTAAACAACAAACCCTAAAGGGCACCCTTTTTTGGGTTGGTTAGTTAGTGGGTGGGCGTGTATACCGAGGGTTCAAACTCAAACTAAGGTCCCACGTCGCCGGGGGCGAGGGGGAGGCTACAAAACGTGGGGTTGGTTGTTTTGGGCTCCGAGACTCCCAAAAAAAACGCTTGACAAAGCCCTGAATCCTCAACACCCTACACCCCAAAACCCTAGCACTTAAACATCTCTAAGCTCTAGTACCCCATCACACAACCACTCACACGAAGTCCTAAACCCTAAACCCTAAACCCTAAACCCTAAACCCTAAACCCTAAACCCCAAACCCTAAATCCTAAACCCTAAACCCTAAACCCTAAACCCTAAACCCTAAACCCTAAACCCTAAACCCTAAGGGCTTCTCTGATTTCCAGCCACGGCTCGGGATGCCGAAGCAGAGGGTGCCTTGAACTCGGGGGCTAAAGGAGGGAGAGTGAGAGGCTTCACCTTTAGGGTTTAGGGTTTAGGGTTTAGGGTTTAGGGTTTAGGGTTTAGGGTTTAGGGTTTAGGATTTTGGGGTTATAGAGTTTAGGGTAATAGAGTTTTGGTAAAAGAGGTTTGTTGGGTGTTTAACGAAAAAGGTGCTCAGGGTTTTAGGGCTTTGGGTTGTAGGGTTTGAGGGGCTTAGGGTTTTCGGGTTTGGGGGGGGTTGGGGTTGTGTATGTCATTAGGAAGTTTCGTGCTTTTTGTTTTTTTTGGGGGGGAAGGGGGGGCTGTTGATTCACCAACGACCACCCCCCCCCCCCCCCCCTGAAGCCGTGCTGGAAGAACCCTAGAACTCCTACCACACCCCAAGCCTGAAGCCTGAACCCCACACACCACACACCACGGCCCGAAGCCCAAGCCCTTAAAACCCTGAAAGTCCTAGAGCCAAGACCCGGCACCCGCTAAGGCCCTAGACAAACCCTAAACCCAGCCCCCCCCTCCCCCTTTTAGGTCCTAAACAAAAACCAACACAACATCACAGCCTGCACCCTGGCTAAACCCTAAGCACTAAACCCAAGACCCTAAAAGCCCAAAGCCTAATCCCTATAAGCCCAACCCTGGCTAAACCCATAAAGCACCCTAAAGGCCCAAACCCGAAACCCAAGGCCCTAAACCCAAAACCCTAGAAAAGCCTTAATAAACCCGACAAGCCCTAAACCCAAACCCTAGATTTAAAACCGCAAGCAAAACCCTAAACACTAAACCCTAACCCACCTAAACCCTAAACCCTAAACCCTAAACCCTAAACCCTAAACCCTAAACCCTAAACCCTAAACCCTAAACCCTAAACCCTAAACCCTAAACCCTAAACCCTAAACCCTAAACCCTAAACCCTAACCCCCCTAAACTCAGAACCCTGGAGCAGCCCAGGGCACAAGTCCACCACATGTCTGGCAGCATTGCCAGCGCCCCGGCGTAGAGGACCTGGGCTGACTCATGGTTTGGGGTCTCATTTATTTCCTTTTGTCTTTTTGTGTTTTTTTTTTGTGTTTTTTTGTGTTTAAAGGGTTTTTTCCGGGGCTTGAAGGAGTCTTAGTGCTTTTTTGTTTTTTTTTTTTTTTTTTCCGGGCTTTCTTGAAGTTTTTTTTCGGGTTTGGGGGTTTCAGGGGTTTCTTGGGGGTTGCAAGGTTTTAAGGGGGCTTTTGGCGGTTTTGGGGGGGGGGGGGGGGGGTTTATAGGCCTTAGGGTTTTAGAGTCGGGGTTTTAGGGTTCAGCGTGACTGTAGGGTTTTCGGGTTGGCGAGGCGCTTTTGGGGACAAGCCCCGGAGCCCCAAAGCCCCGATTGTAGGGTCCTTGCCTAACCCTAAACCCTAGAACTCTAGCTGAAAGGCAGTACACCCCGATAGCCTGGTAGGTTCCTGGGTTCAAGGCCCTGGGTGTGACCGAGACCCCAGCCCGCGACCTTGGACCCAAAACAAAGCCATGGACCCAACCCTAAACCCTAAACCTTAAACCCTAAACCCTTAACCCTTAACCCTAAACCCTAAACCCTATTTACGCCCAGCCCCTGCTTCCCAGACCTCCCCTAAGTGCCCTAGTCCAGGGCTTGTAGGGCTTATAAGGGTTAAGAATGGCCTAGGGCTGAGGATGTCCGTGAGGTCACTGGGAATCCAGACCAGGAATCGCCATCTAGGGTTTAGGGCTAGGGTTTAGGGTTTGGGGTTTAGGGTTTAGGGTTTAGGGTTTAGGGGTTAGGGTTTGGGGTTTAGGGTTTAGGGCTAGGGACAGGAAATTCCTAAGACCAAATGATCGGGAGCCAACGACATGTCCATGGGTCTTGCGGTTCAGGGTTTCAGGTTAAGGCTTTAACGGTTAAGCCCTGTGGAGCAATCCCCTTTACCTGCCGCCAGTTGTCAAAAAATGGAAACAGATTTCAAGTGCAAACGAGTTCGTAGATCCCATGCAACCTTCAAGTAGTGCCTCTCCATTCCCACAACCGGGCCGCGATCATGGAGCACTGGGCCACAAAGATGAACGTGAGCACGTTCCACCTGAAGGCTAAAACTGTAATCCCTGCTCCCTAAACCCTAAACCTGAGGTGCCGGATGTTGAAGGATGGAGGTGCTAGGGGACGCAGTATGAAGGTGCAAAGCACAGGTACTTGGAGCTTCGAGGATATTTATAACCCCAAGTATAGGTCTACGTACAACCTACTTAGGGGGACTGAGGGCGCTGATAAGTACAATTAACACTGGGGTAAGAAGTACTCTTGATCCTTCAAGTAGAGCCTCGAAAGAGAACCTTATGTTGGGGTTGTCCTACTTGATAAGCCTAAACCCTAAACCCTTTACTAGCTCACGCAACACTGGGATGAGGGTCTAAGGTTTAGGGCTTCGGGTTTTAAAATCTAGGTTTAGGGCTTCGAGTCTAGGGTTTAGGGTCTACAGCCTAAGGTTTCAGGCCATATTCAACCAACGTGCCTACTGAGAGGGTTAGGGTTTCGAGCTGGGGTTCAGGGCATTTTCAGGACTTTCTGGAGTCCTTTAAGGGAATGCTACTCTACTTTGGGTATCAGTGGGGGACTAGGGCTTAGGGTTTAGAAATCCCCAAGCACCAACAGGTGGACCTTGTGCGTGGCGATTAGAATGACTAGCAGGGTCTGAGGGTTCAGGGTTTAGGGTTTAGGGTTCAGGGTTTAGGGTTTAGGGTTTAGGGTTCAGGGTTTAGGGTTGAGGGCCAAGTTTGCCAACCCTGAGCCCTCGACCCTTGTTAGCCGTGGTAGCATGTCTACGTAGTTGCGGAAGGGCCCAAAGCCAAGTCAACCTCTCAGTCAAGGGGGGGTTGGGGAGTTTTAGAACCCTAAACACTAGAAGAGAAAAAATAGTACACACCCCAAACCCTAAACCCCAAACCCTAAACCCTAAACCCTAAATCCTAAACCCTAAAACCCTAAACCCTAGCCCTAAACCTTAAACCACACATGGCGATTCGAAGTGCCGAGGCGCATGTACATCATCTGCTCGGGCGTGATCTTCGTAAACAGGAACCTTACTCTTTGATCTTATAGGGTTTAGGGTTTAGGGTTTAGGGTTTTAGGTGTTTAGGGTTTAGGATTTTGGGGTTTAGGGTTTAGGGGTTGGGGGTTTAGAGTTTAGGGTCTAGGGGTTTAGGGTTTAGGGGTGTAGGGTTTAGGGGTCTTTAGGGTATAGGGTGGGCCCTTAATTGGGGAAGCCTCATATAACCCTTCTATGCCCAAGGGCCCATATGGCAGAAACCTTCGAAGAAAGTAAGGACCATTTCAAGGGTTGCGGGTTTAGGGTTTAGGGTTTAGGAATTAGGGTTTAGGGTTTAGGAATTGGGGTTTAGGGTTTTGGGCATAGGGCTTATTTAGGGTTATAGGGGTTTGGAGGTACGCAGGGTAACAGGCAACACGCAGGAATCACTGGTTAAATTTTTGGGTACTCATACACGCCCTACAGTACCTGCAACCTGCAAGTAAACACCCTAAACCCCAAACCCTAAACCCTGAACCCTGAACCCTACACCCTGAACCCCGAACCCGAAACCCCAAACCCTAAAACCTAAACCCCAAACCCTAAACCCTAAAACCTCCAGCTGCCCAGCAGCGCCAAGTTGTGCGGCATCGGGTCAGGCTTGTTGGGTGTTGGGAAGAGCCGGTTGGTCTTCAGGCTCCTGGGGGGAGCTAAGACCCCTAAAACCCAAACTAAGCTCCAAACCCTAAGTTAGGGTTGTCGGGTGTATTCGGGCCCCAAGGAAGGACTCAAGCTCCGTTGTTAGGGAGGCCCCGAAAGACGGCACGTAAGGAGTATGCCTCACTTCATGAGGGCCTACGGCTTAGGGTTTAAGGTTGGGGTTTAGGGTTTAGAGGTTAAGGTTTAGGGTAAGGTTTTACTTTGTTTCGGATCCACTGATCGGACCCCCCCCCCCCCCCAAATCGTCGGCCATGACCTCTAAACATGGAGACTCTAGGGGTTCAGGTTTTAGGGTTTAGGGTTTAGGGTTTAGGGTTTAGGGTTGCACACTAAGACATAGCTGGCCTCAGACATGGGTTTTGTTTCGGGAAGATGACCCCAACTGTATCCAGTCACTGGGATGACTGTAGGGATCCTACAAGATTCAGGCCTTTGAGCAAGTCAGGTTTAGGGTTTAGGGTTTTTGATTGAGGGTTTAGGGTTCAAGGCCTGGGGTTTACCATCCTCCAACTCAAGGTTTAATGGGGCTTCCCCGGCCCCCCCCCCCCCCCAAAAAAAAAAAAAGAAATATATATATATATATATGTATATATATATATGTATATATATATATACATATAAATCTGGAGAGCTTACGAGTCTGAGCCCTAGCCCTAAATCCTAAAACTTCCCCCCAAACCCACTCCTGTTTTCGTTGTTCTTCTCCACCTTCAGCATCTTGTCCTTTGACTCGCCAACGCCCGCGGCGTTGGGGTCGCCCTCACCTGCGGCACAAAGAACACGCGCACTAGGGGGTTGTAGTCCAGGGTTCAAGGTTCCCTGAACCCTAAACCCTAAACCCTAAACCCCAGGGCCCTTATACCACCTTAGGGATCTTTGCAAAGGGTACCCAAACCCAAGCGTGCCACTTAACTGGGGTCGTAGAGTCCCTTGATATTGGATGTAGAGTTCAGGGCCCAGATTTTCTACAAGACCATGCAGGCAGGAATGCCGTGGCCGGACAGGGAGCATAGGATCCGAGGAATGATAGGGTTGAGCCTAAACCCTAAATCCTTAAACGCTACACCCTAAACACCCTACACCCTACGCCCTGAACCCTAAACCCCAAACCCTAAACCCTGAACCCTGAACCCTAAACCCCCCAAACCCTAAACCCAAAACCCCCCCAAACCCTAAACCCTCAACCCTAAACCCTAAACCCTAAACACCCTAAACACCCTAAACAGCCTAAACAGCCTAAACAGCCTAAACAGCCTAAACAGCCTAAACGCCCTAAACACCCTAAACACCCTAAACGCCCTAAACGCCCTAAACACCCTAAACACCCTAAACACCCTAAACACCCTACACACCCTAAACACCCTAAACACACCCTAAACACCCTAAACGCCCTAAAAACCCTAAACACCCTAAACACCCTACACACCCTCACCCTAAACACCCTAAACCCTAAACACCCTAAACACCCTAAACACCCTAAACACCCTAAACCCTAAACACCCTAAACCCTAAACCCTACACCCCCCAAACCATCAACCCTAAACACCCTAAACACCCTAAACACCCTAAACACCCTAAACCCTGCAGGGCCCACCGGGGAGCAGGTTCTTCATGGCAGCGATCTCGTGGTCGTGGGCATACTTCCTGGGATGGTATGTGAGGGTTTAGGGTTTAGGGTTTAGGGTTAGGGTTTAGGGTTTAGGGTTTAGGGTTTAGGGTTTAGGGTTTAGGGTTTAGGGTTTAGGGTTTAGGGTGTATGGTTTAGGGTTTAGGGTTTAGGGTTTAGGGTTTAGGGTTTAGGGTTTAGGGTTTAGGGTTTAGGGTTTAGGGTTTAGGGTTTAGGGTTTAGGGTTTAGGGTTTAGGGTTTAGGGTTTAGGGTTTAGGGTTTAGGGTTTAGGGTTTACGGTTTAGGGTTTAGGGTTTAGGGTTTAGGGGTTGGGGTTTGGGGTTAGGGTGTTTAGGGCCTATCAAGGCCTTTTACTTCCTCGGATGGTATGTTGGGTTGAGGGTTTGGGGTGTTTAGGTGTTTAGGGTGTTTAGGTTGCTTAGGGTGTTTAGGGTGTTTAGGGTGTTTAGGGTTTAGGGTGTTTCGAGGGTTTAGGGTTTGTTTAGGTTTAGGGTTTGCTTAGGTTTGTGGTGTTCAGAGCTCATAGGACTCTACCTTGGACCCCAAACCCCCCAGTCGCACGCAACTCCCAAACCCTTGGGAGAAAAGCAAACTGAACCCCTCCCTAAACCCTAAACCCTAAACCCCAAACCCTAAACCCCAAACCCAGAGTCCCTAAGCCCGAAAGCCCCTATACACCCTGAGGCTTCCGTAGGGACCCTAAGGAGGCTAGGAGCCTGCGACTCATTCGGTCCCCTTGGGCGTGGAGAGGTCTCCGCGGCCAGGGCTCGCAAGCGAGCCCGTTCGCGGCGAGAAGGTCTCTCTGCCCTTTCCTCCCACGTCGCAGGAGGGCCGCTTAAGGCGGCTAGTCTTTTCCGAGCTGCCCTGCTTGCCCCTGACGAAGGCTTGGAAGCGTTGGTAGGTTCCACCGACGGCATGGAGTGCTGTGGCGCGTCTGAGCTAGATCGAGCCCGCTCGCGCAACGCATCATCCGACATGCCCGCTTCACTTTCCCATTGCCTCCTTGCCAACCCCAGGGAAACAGCTGCCATGTATCGGTCGGCCAACGTGTTAGCAGACGACCCCGAAAGGATATCTGCCGCCAACGTGAAGCTCTCGTTGAGTGCCCTTGGATCTGGACTGGACGGCTTTAGGGAAGGAATAAAAGATTAACACCTCAGCTACGTCCAAGCACAGTCCTTAGTAAGGATTACAATCGGGGGGTACTAGAAGCCTAAACCCTAAGCCCTAAACCCTAAACCCTAAACCTTAAACCCTAAACCCTAAACCCCTTAGTATAAGGGGGAACATCCCCAACGCAACCCGTCAACTCCCGAAGCGACTGCAGAACCAAGCTTCTTCTTGAGCTCCTGGACAGCAGAAAGGGTTTAGGGTTTAGGGTTTAGGGTTTGGGGTTTGGGGTTTGGGGTTTGGGGTTTGGGGTTTGGGGTTTGGGGTTTGGGGTTTGGGGTTTAGGGCTTAGGGGGTGGGGTTGTTGCGGAGGATCCTTCGAGGGGATTTTTGGGGCAGTTGCCAATCGAAAAATGGCTGACTGTATTCTGCCCCCACCGCGAAGTACCAATAATCCTTGGAACCCCCCGCCCACAAACAAAAGGACGGTTCCATGCACCCGGCACTATTTCTCGGAAACCCCCGCAATGCTAATAATCCGATTTCTCTAAGGTGGAACCGCTGTCACTTAGCATGGTCCGTTACCCTTGCTTAGGGCTCTTAAAGGTCTGAAGCTACAGGAGTTCTGAAACCCTTGACCCTAAAGCTACATGCCATACTTCAAGTGGTTATCGGTCGTTGCGGCTTCATTCTGTGCAAAACTCTCAAACTCAAGGTGTTCTGCTGGGGGGGTGGGGGGGTTGGGGGGGTGGGGGGGTGGGGGGGTGGGGGGGGGTGGGGGGGTGGGGGGGTGGGGGAGTGGGGGGGTGGGGGAGGGGGGGTGGGGGGGTGGGGGGTGGGGGGTGGGGGGGGTGGGGGGTGGGGGGGTGGGGGGGTTGGGGGGTGGGGGGGTGGGGGGTGGGGGGTGGGGGGGTGGGGGGGTGAGGGGGGGGGGGGGTGGGGGGGTCGGGGGGGGTTGGTTGGGGGGGTGGGGGGCATGGTGGGGGGTGGGGGGTGGGGGGGGGTGGGGGGCTGGTGGGGGGGTGTGGGGGGTGGGGGGTGGGGGGGGGGGGTGGGGGGGTGGGGGGGTGGGGGGTGGGAGGGTTTAGAAGCCCCTGTCAATCAAGGCTCGGTTTTGGTCAAAAATCCAGAAGACGAGAGCCACCCAGAACCGTCGATTTCAGTACTCAAAAACCGCTTTTTAACTGGGACACGGGCCGATCCTGGGGTCACCCTCATTTGGGGTGTTTTTGGAGGTAAACTTTCCCTTTCAAGTAGGGGTCGGAGTTTGAGGCAAGGGGGTGTCTCCGAAGACTATTTTGCCTTTAAAATTGAAAAATACGACCCCCCCTGACCAAAACTAGGCTGTGAAAAGGTCGCGGGGGGGCACCTCATTTGGGGCGTTTTTGGAGGCAAACTTTCCCTCTCAAGGGGGGGTCGGAGTTTGAGGCAGACTATTTTGCCTTTAAAATTCAAAATTAGGCTGTGAAAAGGTCGTGGGGGCGGCGCTTCATCAGAATTGCGTTAAAAACCTTGAAATATCCTGAAAAACATTGAAAAACCTTGAAAAACACTGAAAAACTCTAAAAAACCTTGAAAAAACTCGGGGAAAAGGAAAATCACCATTGCCCACTTTTGAGGCCGAAAATCACCGTTGCCCACTTTTGAATTAGGGTTTAAATTCATTATGATAGAGAGGTTTAGGGTTTAGGGTTTAGGGTTGAGGGTTGAGGGTTTAGGGTTTAGGGTTAGG